GAAAGAAAGAAAGAAAGAAAGAAAGAAAGAAAGAAAGAAAGAAAGAAAGAAAGGTGATAGAAGGAAAGGAGAGTTTATTTTGCCTAACAGCCCCAGGGTATAGTCCTTCCTAGTGACAGGAGCTAGAGGAAGCTGATCACACTGTGTTCACAATCAGGAAGCAAAGAGTTCTGTGCTTAAGTAGCTTCCTCGTTTTATACAGTTCAGGATCTAAACACAGGAAACCCTTTTCAGAGTAGACCTTCTCACCTCAATAAACCTAATCAAGACAGTTCCTCATATGCATGTCGAGAAGCTAATCTAATCTATGCAATCCATTGTAGATATGCCTGGAAATTTGTCTCCTTCCTGATTCTAGATCCTGTTCTTGTTGATAATACTCAAGATCACAACTTAACCCCTTGTCAACCTGACACCCAAGCCTATCACTTCTAAACTGTACATTTTCACCTCTTCTTCCCACAGTCTTATTTTACAATTTAAAATATATCCCATACAACTTCAAAAGTCCCTATAATCCGTAACAATTCCAACACTGTTTGAAAGTCTGAAGTCTCTTTTGAGACTCAAGGAAGTCTCTTAAAAGTAGACTCCTATAACATTAAAAGAATACACAATTTTAACTCACAGTGTCACCAAACGCAATCATTAATCCCCAAAAGGAAGAATGGAATCACACAACAAGGAGTGATTACAGCTAACTAATTAAAATATGCAGCAAGGCAAGCATCAAATCCTGCAAGTCCATTGGCCAACATTTAGGGCTCATGATGGATCTCCAGAGAGCTTGAGTAGCCCCACTCTTCCAGTTCTGCTGCTTGGAGTAATATATAACCCTATCTTGGGCAAGCTCCACTATGTCTGCTGCTCTCCTCAATGAACACTTCACTGTCCTAACATCTATAACATCCAGGGATCTCCACTGATTCACCTTCAGATCCTCATGCAGTAATGCTTCAGGGCCACCTTACAAGTACTTCAGCACTACTACACATTGCTTGGTGTTAACGACTCTCTGAAACTGTGGTGGAAGTCTTGCATCCTCTATGCCTGCAGAGTCAGTACCACATGGATCCCTAGACTTTTCTAGATTTTTTAGTAGCAGCAAATTAATTCTTTTGCTTTTGTTAATGCATCTCTCAGATATGGTGTCACCACTCCTGAATGGGTCTTTGAGTTGTCTGGGAGTTAAACAAAGCATGGCAGCATCTTGAGAATTTTTTTTAAGTACACACTAGAGAGAATTTTAAAATGTAAGAATGAAGACATTTCAAGCAACAAGCAAGCCACTTGGTTCAGAAGTTCAAAGACGTTTTCTGTACATCCAGCTAAGCCTCAGTGAGTTTCTCAAGTTCCTCCTATTCCTGTGATTGGGTTAAAAATCCTCAGGAGAAAGTAGACTACTGTTTCCTAAGATGTGGCTTGCCTTTCAGAGCTTTAGTCCTGAATCCCAAATCATTGTTCGAAGTTGGCGCTTTACATTTTGTACCTGTAGGTTTAAAAAAAAAAATGCCAGAAACAAGAGGAGGAGGCAAGAGTTCCATGCAAATGGTTCATATCATCTATGAAGAGAGGTGTAAAACCAAACACAAATGATTCTTCTAGGTAAGTCAGAATGTCAGGAAACTGTGCCATTAGAAAGAATTCTGTTAGGAGAAGTAGAATCAACAGATAATTCTGGAGATGGAAGAAGCCGGATTTCGAACATACTGCAAATATCTTTTTACAAGGAAGATACTTCCAGGAACCCTTGCAAAGTGTAATTGTACCCCAGGGGAACTTCAAAGAGATTATTATCTCTTTGAAAGGGGCTTCACTGACTCTTTCAGTGAATTTCAAAGGATAACAATTGAGTGTGAGCTCTTGCATTTTAGCGGGAGGTCAGATTGTAATGTGGGCGCAGCACAGAACCATGTGACTAGATAGCAGGCCAAACTTTGAGTGTTTATATGACACCAGAGAAATGAAAGTGTTTTATCTAAAATACACATGATAACCCAGGACAAACATGGGTGGTGTAAGCCATGCTGCCTGGGATAGTTTTCAGATCCAGTATGACTCAACTGTGGTGGCCTACGAAGATCAGTGACTGACAAACTACATTTCATGGATGAAGATCTCTATTCCCAGAAATCTGGGCAAAATAACTTCTTTGACTGGAAAGATAATAGAGAAAAGAAAAAGAAGCAGAGAATCAATTTAAGAGCCAAGACATCACCTGGGGCATTCAGGACTCCTTTGCTGCTTGGGAAAATATATTGCTGTCTTAAAAGTGAACATGACAGCAAGTTTGAGAGCTACATTTAACCAAATCTGAAAGACTAATGTACGGCTACTAAACATTCCAAAAAGCCTAGATATAGAGGGCTAGAAGTCAATTCATGAAATTCCAGCCATACTTCCTGTGCCTATTAATTAGCTAAAAGAGAGCATAGAGGTCTAGTGGTCATGTTGATGACTCTTAGAGTCCCTTCCCTTTTTATGTCCCTGGCAGGATGCCCAGTCTTTGAATTGTGATCCAAATGTAGTGTGGCATGGTTTGCTAAGCATTTCCCTAGTGTTCACAGAGAAGGAAGGAGCCACGTATCCCTATGAATACGTGAATCCCTAGAATGTGTGTGTGTGTTCAGAGAACACATGTCAGTTCTCACTGCCAATAGAGTTTCCTAAAACTTGTTTTGTATGTTGAGGTTCTGTATTACTTCAGTTGTGGGGGGGGGTGTTTAACATTAAATATATATAAGTATTTGCCACAAAGTAAAAGTTGTTATCACCTCATTATTAACTGTATCCCTTTGCATACCAGAAAACTCTCAAAATAGCCAGACTCCAGTGTGAAAGTCGTCAGTGTAGGGTGTTGGCAGATGTTCCTCATGTCAGTCAACACATCAAATACATAGAACAAAATTATTGTCGCTTGAATTCTTTAGCTATGAGGAGCATTAATATGATCTAGTTTTATATTTAATAGGCAATAAAATGTTCAGTTGTTCTCAGATTGGGGAAAGTTAAATGTGTCCATTATTGCCCTAAGAAAAGATTTTGTGTTTTATAGCATTAAATTTCCAGCTGCTAACTTAAAATAGTAGGCTGCCACATTCACGTATTTTCATTAATTAAGAAATACAATGAAAGTTGGGAGTGGTGAAAAAAGGGAAGCCAGAAGTAAAGTACACAGAGACCCGACTTCATCTCTACTAGGGGTGACTACACTAAGAACATTCAGGCAACAAAACACGTTGATCTAGGGAGATGGCTCAGTGGATAAACATGCTTACCATAGTTGGGATCCTCAGAGTCCGCTTAAAAACCTGGCAGATGTGGCAGCTGCCTGTAATCTTAGCACTTGGGACTTAGACACAGAATCCTTAAGGCAGGCTGGCTAGAACACCTGCAATTGGTGAGTAGGGTTTGCTCCGAGACCCTGCTTAAGTAAGTCAAGCAGGATGAGAAAAAGGCAGACATCCACCAGCTTCAAGCCTGCACGAGTGTGCACACATTTTCAATGATGTAGTGAAATTAAAAAACCCTATGCATTGTTAATGGTCATATTTGAAAAGTAGATTAGAAATCCCTGTAATAATTAAACCAAATTAACCTATGACTCAAGAATTCTATTTCTTAATATGTATCTAGGAAAAAGTATATGTCCCAGGACAGTGTTGAACTGGAAGTGTTCCAGAAGCACCACCTGTTTTAAATATCACTAGAAAGCAGAGGTTTAAGAAGACACTGAGAGATCAATTCATTGGAAACTCAGTGAAATTTTGAAACATAAGCCACCCCATGCAGGTGCATCAGTAGCTGTGTGGCTATCAGAGAGCAAAAAACCACGGCAGGATATGCTGTAAACAAAGGTGGGATTCAAAAGCTGAGGACTGGCATGGAAGGCCCCACCTCTGCCTTCTGGCAGTGTCCTCCCTCAAAGGGATGGCTCAATACAAGCTGGGTTTCTATATGCACATGCACAAATGAGGTCTCACCAACATAGTGCAGAGTTACTGTCCCACAGCAGTTCTATATCAAATCTCTGTGAAGTGAATAGTTTCCCCATGAAATGATCAAGTCTTAAACATATGTATTTTATAATGCTCAGTTTATTCCTCTGGCTAAGAAATCCAAAGGCAATTTGCAGTTGACATGCCTTTCTTATACTTCTGTTATTAAAAGTTTACTGTTTCACTGCTTTCCAAAAGTGATTTATAAGCCTCTTTCATGTAAGTCTAATTGTTTTCCATTTTGTGATACAAAATTAATAAAACAAATACAGATATGAATATATTCATTTTGTGGAAAGAAAGAGAATCCAGATCACATAGATTAACCTCTTTGGTATGGTATCATTCATAAGTGAACACATAAGGCATGCACAATGGTCTTCAGCTTCAGTTTTGGGTTTACAATAAACTACCAGATGATTGTCCTTTCATATACACGGACAAAACTTCTTATTAAGTTGGTGGGGTGAAATTGAAAAGTGGGATGTGGACAGTATGAGGTTTATACATGAGGTTTTATGGCTGTAACCAAAACTGAAGTATTAAATATTTATAAAACCAAGTGAAAACAGAAAGCAATGGGACTATTAATAACAGAAAATAATTTCTGAGGCCACTGCATTAAAAGGGATGGTCCCGAGAAGAGGTACGGTTAGAATGCAGAGCCCTAAATTTTTTTCTCAGACTTCTTATTTCTTCCAAACACCTTTCCATCTCTTCTTCCTCTCCTGTCATTTCTTCACCTTTAAAATGCCTATAGTCTATGTCTTCTTTAAATTCTTCAAGAGACTGAAGCAGCCTCTGTCTGAAATTCCCTTCCAGTCGCTGGCCTTCAAACGCTCCATAGGGGTGTTCATCCTCCCTCTTTGGCTCACTGCACTTGGGCTTTCCTTCTTTTTCATTGCAGGACTTTTGCATGATTTTGTCCTTTCCTGCTTAAGTCCAGGGAGAGAATGCAGAGGCAAATTACCTTCCTACTTTGAATCCCTTTCTCTTGGAATCCACTTCCCCATACCTGACAGACCCACAGTTCCAGCCTTCAGAAACTGAAAATATCTCAGCTTCTTTAGCTTACCGACAAATCTCCTTTTTTTTTTCTTCCCCACTCCTCAATCTCATCCCATTCTTTTGCAAGGAAATTAGCTGAATGGTCCCTCTGAGCCAGCAAAGCTGCAAATTTTACCCAGCATTATCCCTTCTTAACTCCCACCCTCAGAACCCCAGTCTAAGAAACTCCCACACACTAACCTGTACAAACACAGGATAGTTTCTCGCTTGTTTTCCTGTCAGGAGGTATCTGTGAACACAGATTCCTGGACCTACAAACAGAAACAAGGGATCAGGGAAGAAAGTATGGCGATCAAACACATGTTATTATTATCCAGAATCTGGGATTCTCCTCAATATGATAGTTCGAAGTATTCTACTGCCTGGTTCCTTTCCAATAGCTATCCTTTAGTCTAGAATTGTGTGCCTGTTTGCCCACCCTCACTCTCAGACTTGGCCTTTGTAAGACTCAGCATCTCCGATCCCCCATTTTGACCCCACCATTGCAGGTTAGCATTGAATGAGGTGAACCATTTTTAAAATATCTCAGTATTTCTTGTCTCTGTCCCACAATTTCAGCCTTTCCCCATACATTAACTCATTTCAGGGCTACCATGCTCTCCAATGCATTGGGGAAAACAAAGAAAAGGCAAAGTTTTGCAGAACAAGAGAAACCCTATCACTAGATTGCTAGATGTTTCTCAACCCTTTCCCATGCTTTCTGCTTTTTTGCCAAATAGGCAATTATTGGAACAGCAAGCTGCCTGAGTGCGTAAAGGCACTTGCTGCTTAGTCTGAAAATCTTAGTTCAGTCTCTGGGATCCACATGGTAGAAGGAGAGAACCAACTTCTACATATTTTATCTGACCTCCATGTATATGTAGTGAAACATGCACTCACAAACATGCATGCAAATAGACAAATGTAATTAAAAATTAAAACATATGCAATTATCTATCTCCCAATTAGAGATATAGGGAAACAAGTCTAGATGGATTCTCTTCTCGTTCAGCCACTATCAATCCAAGGGTTCCTGGTGGTTTCTGTATACCAGTCTGCTGGGATTTAAGGAATTTACCTTCTCTTCCCGTTGGCCACGAGTATTCAGGGCAGTAAAGATCTCGTACACAGAGGAGAAAGAAACCTGGATATATAATGACTTGGGCTCACGTCAGCTTTTAATCACGTGAGGATTATGTCATCTTCCAACTCTGGTCCCTAGTTTCCCCTCCCATCAGCACTACTGCAGAAGTAGACCTGTCTACTAACCTCCCACCCCCACCACACCAGGCCCTGTCACTCATTTTTGCCTTTGCTAATTTCAGAGGTCAAAAGTGGCCCCTTCTCCTTATGGTTGGAATGTGCCTTTCTCTGATTACCAGGGAGGGGCTGCATCTTCCATGGTTATATTAACCATCATTCCTTTTTTAAGGGTTGTGTTGAGAGAAAGGATTACTCGTCCTCGTCTTGGTTGAGAGAACAGAAAAGAAGCAGTCTTACCTCTACTCACCCTTCCATCCAGCATAAATATCATTTTCCTTATAGTCTAATTTTTGAAGCCAAATTGGAGGATACAATATAAACTAGGTAATGAGGTCATAATTGGGTTTACATATTTTTACTATTTTTCAGATATCTTCCTATTTTTCAATTTTCCTTAAACACAAGTCTCATAATTTGAAATATGGTAAAGATATGCATATTTGGAAAAAAGATTAAAAATAGGAAGATAAAAAGACCCAAGCACCTGTTCCAGCTAATGAAGTCAGAATATAAATATATACCTTTCAGTCGGACACATTTTTAGAAGCTCAAAATGTACAGAGCAGTTGGAGCATGCCCTTTCACAGAGACTTCAGAGTAGGTGAAGTCCTTCTGTCACATGGATAACTAAGACTATAATCCTACAGCACTTTGTCTCAGATATGCAGATCTCAGAAGTCAATCACAAATATCTACTACTTTGATTACACATTTTCACAGATTGTGCCTTGCCATATTTTTTTTATTCCCTTGAAGATTGTCCCTGAATATATTACTTTTAAAAATCTTTATCTCAGTAAGAACATTTTTTGGTTTGTTTGTTTCTCTCAAACATTCCTGTCCCACCTAGGTTTTCCTAGACTTTATTCAGCTAGTCACAAAATTCACCACCCATCAAAACAATCATTTCCTGCTAAGGATTCTATTACTTATATAGATGGATTTGTTTACATGAAAATAAGCAATGGATGGGTGGGGGGTGACTACGAAAAGTTCTTCGGTCTTGTTTATTAGGAACTCCGTAGCTCATTTTTAATGTAATCACTACTAGTAAGCTTGATGTAAATGATTCCAGAAAAAAAGTTAAGTGGGCAGAAGAAGAGATCTTTTGAAAAGTAGAGCTTTGTTGCACCCATTTGTAAGGAATGACTAGCTTTAAAAGAGAAATCAGCTAGTGACCAGCCAGAGAAGAAACGAGGCTCTGAGTCCAACAGCTCACTAAAAACTACTAACACATTTGTAATTTAAGAAGTGGATCTTCTTATAATTGAATGCTAATATGACACTGGCATTATCAGCACCTTCATTTCAGTCTTGTAAGAGATGTTAAAGTGAAACCATCCAACCTAAACTGTTCGAAGGTCCTCAGAAATTGACAGGAAAAGGGTGTGTTGTTCTTCATCACTATGTATACATATGCCATATAATTTGTAATCCAGAAATAGATAACATATTATTTACTTGGCTTATGGGACAAAGGCAACTTAATGTGAAAGGTTTCATTTCTTTTCTTTTTAAGACAGGGTCTCTCTATACAGCCCTTACTGTCCTAGAACTCACTATGTAAACCATGCTGAGCTTGAAAGGCATGTACCATCATGTCCAGCTGAGAGGGAGTTGTTTTAGCTGGTAGTTTAAGGGTACAGTCTGTCATGGAAACAGAAGCTTTGGGCAGCTAGATGCCTTGCATTCACAATGACCAGACAAAGAGACAAATGCTGTCAGTTACTTAACTTTCTCCTTATAGAGTACAGGACTCAACCACATGGAGTTGTACTATCCATAGGTAAGATGGGTCTTTCCACCTTAATCAATCTAATCTAGATAAGCTTTCACAAGCATGCCTAAAAGCTTGGTGCCTAGGTGATTCTAGATCATGTAAAACTGAAAATGTTGACTATCACAGATAACTAAACATATACGGCAAATCAATAAACCAGTACAAACTACTGATGAAGACAGCCATTACAATGAAGCTAGACACAAAAGAGCACATGCAATATAATTCCACTTACATGGTGTTCTTCTTCTGAAAGCTCTGCCTGTAGTGACAGGAGTTGGAACACTGACCTCCTGGAATGAAGGGCATTTGGAGTACTGATTGCAAAGAAGTGTGACACTCTGGGGTAATACTAAAATTGATGTGATTTTATGAGGGTGCATGTTTGTTTTTATTACTTCTTTACTGGCAGAACTGTTATTTACATTACAAGGAATTATACACATGAAAAAGACATTTCAAATGAGTAATAACAAATGCATGCCTACATGAAATCCTTCTTATTATGTGAAAAATTTATATTACCCAAGAAATTCATGCTCCTTTTCAGTCACAACCACACAGGAGGAGATTTATGGTTGTAAAAAGCCCTGGGAATACTTTAGGCTAGATAGAATCTTCTTGGTCATCTTAGCTCTCTTGCACTTTCATCTTAGGTAGGTATTATCTGTGGACTGAGGGAAAATAGGAATGAAATATTGAATGAATATATACATACCTGTGTACCTATATTTATGTATATATGGAATTTTAATATATGTCAATAAGTATATACATGTATGCACATACACATATAGATACACATATGCAATGCACTTTTGAAATCAAGACAAACATAGACATTTGGCTACAAGACCTTAAACCGCGCCTATAACAACTATTTTGCCCTTGTCTAGATGATGCTATTCTGTGTTTATAAGAATGCGTTTAACATTTAACTCTTTGTCAATGCTGACATTCATCTTTAAATGAGGTCTTGTACTATTATCATTAATTAACCCAGTGTGTCTTGTTACTTTTTGTAGTCACCCTGCCTGTTCCTTGTCTAATTCTCCTGCCTTCCATAATCAGTATGCCTTGTATTCACTTTTGACAGCTGCATCTGGCACTTTCCCAGTTTGTGTCCTTATCTTACATGTGAACTGTTAGGGCAGATGATTCTCTAGTGCTCTTTCTTCTATTTTCTCTCTTTCACCTCCAGAGATATCTATGTAAGATATGCAAGGTCACTTCTCTGGTTAGTGCTATGGATAAGAGTCCGCTCAGGATTTAAAATGAGGTTGGTCCCAATCTGCCGCAACATTCTCTTCTAAGTTCCACATACAACTGCCATCCTTTTATGCACGATAAGTTAACAGTTATTCTTTGACTTTTCCTGATGCCTAGCACTACATTTTTTTTTAATTTCTTTTTTTTTTGAACATGAAATGCTTTTTTATAGCATGTTTTACAAGGGGAGGGGGTAAGAGGGTCCAGGTGGTGGAAAAGTACAAAATCTTCTTGGCCTGTGCCTTGAAACATGTCATGGTCTATATGGTACACTGCCTTGAATTATGATCTACCTGCAGTTCTTCAGAAGATATGGTACACTGCTTGAGTTATGGTCTCCCTGCTATTCTTAAGAAGACATGGTACTCTGCTTTGAGTCTATCTGCAGTTGCTAAGCAGGATCTTGCAGTTGCCAAGCTTCAGAGGACATTGTGCAGGTGGGAAAAGGTAGGGAGTAAGGATAAGGGCGAGGGTCCTGGCTTCTGGCATCTCCCCCTTCTCTGTTTAGTTAGAGAAGGCGTCTTATGTTCAATCCCAACTATGTGAGTTTTGAATTTGGATGTCTAATTATGGGGGGTCTTAGACAAGTTCACAACCCCAAAACACTGATGTGAGACAAGTCACATCGATGGTCGAAGGCTTTAGGCTGTCGACGATGGGCAATGTCAAGGGACTCTGATGTGGGTGAAAGGAGGGTGAGAGCCCTGTCTTAGGCCACGTAGGCTGCACCCACTCCCAGCACCACGCACTCCTTTTCGGCTGCATTGGGTGGGCCCCTGGGAAGTGGACCTACAATAATCCCGTCATTGGACTAACTCACAGCCATCCTAGTCTCTTGTAAATATTCAAGTTACCAACCATTTGTCAGTTTGGGGTGTAATATTGTCATAAAGGAAGGCTCCCCAATGTTAGCGGCCATATCAAGGGTGGCCTTGGTTTAGGAAAAAGCCAATTTTTGTTGTGGTGATCAAGAGGCCAAGCTCTCTAGCGAGAGAAATGAGGGCAAAGCCAGGCATACCAGGAACCCTTCTGGAGGGCGTGGAAGTCTAGGGGTCGACCGTAGGGGGAGGCAGGGGAGCTGACAGCTGTGTCAGTCTCCTGCGGAGTCACTTCTGGATCCTCTGCAATTTTCAGCTGATGGTAATGAACTTCAACTGCCTTCTTGATGGCAGCATCAACCTGGTTCCGTGGACGACAGGTCACGGGCGATGATCTCTGTCTTGCTCAATCTTGATGTCGTGCGCACATCCTCTCAATGAGGGTCCGTCCGGATGGGTCCGTGCCTCGAGCCCCACGTCTGGGTGCCACTTGACCCGACCGGCGGGTCCTGGTTATTCGTGGGGGCGAGGAGGACTGCAACCTGCTATTCTTCAGAAGATATGGTACACTGCTTGAGTTATGGTCTCCCTGCTATTCTTCAGATGATATGGTACACTGCTTTGAGTCTATCTGTAGTTGCCAAGCAGGATCTTGCAGTTGCCCAGCTTCAGGGGACCTTGTGCAGGTGGGAAAAGGTAGGGGGTGAGGGTAAGGGCGAGGCTCCTGGCTTCTGGTCCATCTGGGTTAGAACTTCTAATAGCAGGCATCACGGGTGATTCAATTTTACCTGGAAAGAAAAAAGAGGGGGATTCTCAGGGAGATTTCTCTTCCCTGGATGTAAATTGTTATTCATCGTATTTATGATTGGGCCTGGCTTTGTGAGGGTATCTATTTTTTTCATTAATATTTGTGGTAGCCGGATAGCTGTGCCTTCTGTGGTATTGGGCAGGCATATCAGTCCTCGGCTCCATAAGGGAAGTGGGACTGGGGCATTCC